CATTTGATGTTGTTGTTCCAGCAGACAAGTCCAACAGGGTTCCTGAACGGCTGGATAAGATGATCCCAGTCGTTTGGCGTGGGGATCGGACCTTCAAGATCCTGCACACTGCCCCTATAGCACCCGTACTCGATTTCCTCTGGGATATGGGCGTAAATGCTGTACCAGACAGTCATGTATAGAATATGTCTGGCAATAAGCCAGGACACCATGAACACGCCAAATGCAATGTCGCACGCAAGCTCAAAATGCAGGTACTTGAGAATTTTCGCTAGGGGGAGGATGATGTCGGCCAAGTCCATGAGACAGAGAATCAAGGTCCCCACACGATATTGATGATAGCCGTAGGACGTGAATATGAGCGCACAGGTCACAATGTGGTGAGTGAACATCTGCCAGTGGTCCTTCCGGCGCTCCTCAATGTTTACCACCACGATCTGCTGCAGCCAGAAACCGAACTGAACCAAATAGTACCATTTCGCTAGACCCTCCATTTCGCGGTCCGGCCACGTCCTCCACAAAGCCCGAAGGTCGAGCCAGTAGTCGGAATTGTACATGATGTACATGCCGGTACACCATGACGCAGTATAGTAGCAGAGGATCCAGGCCTGTTCCGCAAATCGCACCTTTGGCTTTCGTTTCCGAATGCCAAAAAAGCCAGCCAGAGGACCAAGGAAATAGTCCATAGTAGCACAGCGGAGGCCGGTGAAGACAATGATCCAGTAAAAGACGAAGAATATGTCGTCCCAGCCCAGGGCGAAGTTTCCGGTAGCTGGGTTGTAGTAGGAGATTTGGAAGAATTTCTGGGTGTGATGCCTTGCCGAAGGGAAGAAGATGTGTATGAAGAAGAGCATAGATATGAGGTTGACAGATATGCCTGAAAGAGAGATCAGTATAGGCATTTCACGGGAACCTCTCGTTATGGACGTTCTTACTGATCTGGTGGTCCACAACCCATGTACATGCGCGGGCGATGGTACCTTTCTCCTTGCCCTTGCGCTCCCACCTAGGCCAGGCCGTTTTCTGCGACGGCGATTGACTGTGTTGGCGGTGTTCCATGGTCAAATGGGTTATTTGTTCGAGTTTCTCTTGATCTGGCAGACCGATCCGATCCATCTTCTTGTGCGCCAAAGGCCGAGACCTGAGGGAGCTTGTTCAAGTTCGAATAGGCAACTGAGCTCGAGACCGTGGTCTCCTGTTCCGGAGAGAGAGACTGTTCGATGCCAATGACAGCGCGGGGGTGTATATCAATCCGAGGACAATCAATATGCGGCGAGTGCTAAGAGCGGGCGACCAGCGCAGCCAATGTGTAGTGTGGGTTGACAATGGAAGAGGGAAGGCCGAGGGGAGGATACAAGCGAATGACAGGTCTGGCTGATGGCACACGCGTGCGTACACCTTTCCTCGCTAAGCCGGAATGCCAGACAAATGGTCAGAACCCATTGCTAGTTGGGATAGGAAACCAGAGTGGGAGGAAAAAAGACCAGAAGGGCAATGGTGGAGTGATGTGGAATATGAGCTGCAGGACATTTGGGTGTTTCGGTGGGTGGGATTGGGTGGCACAGCTACCGAAAGCTCTCAGTTAGAGACTCGGAGGGAGCTTGTGCCTCCCCAGCTGCCCAGCTGCCCGCTCACTGGTGACTGTTGACCATTGGCCGCTACGGAGGAAACTTGGTGAACTTAGCACTCACAACAAATGGGAACTGGCGGTGTCGGTGTCAGATGGGCTGCTCTCTTTGATTGACGGCTGGCCCCCGCAGTCCCCCGGAGCTGCAAATCTGGTTTCCTCTTCTTGCCAGGACACTGCTTCATCGAGTGCAGCAGGCAAGCGTTAGAACGACTTAGTGCTCTAGGGACTCCGTACATTCATAAACATAGACTAAAGGTCCTCAGCACGTCCTTTACTATAATCCCAGTTCCCTAGTCCACGATCCTAGAAGATTGATTTTTATCTAGGTAGTTGGTCTATGCTTGAGCTGGCTTTCTAGCCTTCTGCTGCTCCCTGGCCCCATCCTCTGGTTCCTGCATGCACACGGTTCAAGGGGCCCAAGCTCATTGCTGGCTGACGGCATGCCTGGCTCTGGCCACACCTAAAGAACCGCCCCGAGTACCCAATAGCACCTACTTCCGGTCCACCAATTCTTCTCAGTGCCTGAACATCATCCGCAGTCGAGCCGCGTCGTTATGTCATTCCGGCGCCATGGACCCTTCTGATCGTCGCGGTTAATATCCTGGACAGCTCACATACGTCTGGACATCGCTGTCGGCATCACTTGTCCGCTTCTTGTCGGGAGTACCAGACCAAATACAGCCTATTGTGTATCGTGCTGTTCCAGGGCTTAGATGGATGAGCAATCCACAAAGATTTTCGACAGTCCTGTCATTTACACTGCATCAAACTTCCGGTCGTAGAGGAGTCGCAGTTGGCTCAGCGCCAAAGGCCGTATGGCTCCTTGCAAGCCTTCCACAACTTTATTGTCCCGTCTTCGCTTCCGGTCGCATAGATCTTACCGTCAGGAGAGAATGCAGTCGACCAGATCGGGCCATGATGGCCTTTGAGAACCTCTGCAAAGGGTTAATAGCGAGCGAAGTATGCGGAAAGGCCAAAGCTCACCGAGTTCCTTTTCCTGCGCGAAATCCCATACGCGGACCCATGTGTCAACCCCGCCACCGGTCACAAAGCGTCCCGTTGCAGGGTTGATGGCCACGCTGGCAACTTCGTGGTCGAAATTAACTTGTTTGATTAGCTCTCCAGGTCTGCCGGCGTCGAAAAAGAGACAGGACCGTCCAGCCGCCACACTGAGAATTCCTGGGTTACTGTCTTCCGCTTTGTTGGTCGAGAGCTCGCACGACATGATGTCCCGCTCTATCTTGACACTGGCGATCATGCGTTGGACCCTCAAGTCCCACCATCGTAGAGTCTTGTCTTCGCAAGCTGTGGTGAGAATATTGTAGTCAACGTTCCACACAATCGATTTGATGCTGCCCCCGTGTTGGCCTGCTCCAATCTCATGTCCTTCGGAAGTGGTGGTCGGGGTGATCGGGGAGGCGCCGTTGACCTGATCGGGTGAAGCAGCACTGCCACCTCGACTAAGATCGAATATCTTGAGTGTCTTGTCTTGCGCACCGGTCGCCACACACTGCGGGTTAGTCTGAATTGGAAATGCGACGGCCCGAACTATGTGGTTGTGAGTTAAGATGTACAGGCACTCTCCGGTCTGGGGATCCCAGATTCTCCTGGGCATGGTCAGCGTGAAACCACCAGAATATGAGATGTGCCAATCTTACGCGCTGAAGTCCGCGGATCCAGTGGCGGCGATCCTGGCATCGGAAGACAGCCTTGACGACCATACCGCGCCTTTATGTCCAATGAATGTTCCAATCCTGTGTCAACGTCAGCGAAGCTATTCATGGGCGCCAAATAACCATACCAATCTCCTGTCATGCCATCTCTCAGCATCGGGTTGTTGTCTGAATTGAGTCAGAGATAGCCCGACCTAGGCGCATAAAATCTCACCTTTACAAGCCGATATCAAGTAGTATTGATCATCATCCACGATGGAGGAAAAGCTCAAATGTGTGATCGGCCGGGAGTGACCATGGCAAGTCAGAGGGACAATGCGTGGCGTATCTGTATACGGAAGGTCAGATAATTATGCTGCGCAGTCCCGGGCAGCCTTTTTGTTCGTACCTGCGGACATGGCAACAATGTCAAGACTAGATTAATGCACAAAGACAGGCAGAGTCAACTTTGTGGAAGCCGAACGGAGGGGTGAACAACCACAGCGGCAACCCAGACCGTAGTGAACAATCAAATTCTTTCCGAATACTGATAATGAGTTGATGATCCTGTCTGATAGGGAGATCAGAGTCCAAGAGGTGAGAAAGTAGGATAAAGGCTGAATTTAAAGAAGGCGAATTTGAAAAAGGTGGCGACTTGTGACCTTGCAGGCGACTGATGGAATCCCAACTCCTCACCAAGAGAAGTCCATGTCACCGAGATATAAAAAGCTACAAGTACGGAAAGTGAAAGAACAAGGGAAAATGATGCAAAGATGGTGTGTGAATACTAAGTTATGGTCAACACACATGTGAACACATGGGGGGTAAAGACATGGGCTCGATGATATTGTTTGTAGTGTTTGGTGCAAGTGGCTCGGGGTTCGGATGATTGTTCTTCCTTCCGTCGCCGCGGCGTCAGTATTTCACTATTCCACTTTGGAATTAGCTTGAGACTCACCTTTCAACCTCGTCAACTTCTCTTTGCCCTCCTCTCTCTTCACAGGAACTCTCCTTCGTTCGATCTACACCGGGTTCGTCGGAGAGCGCAGCCTTGAATGAACTCCGTCTCCATCCAAACCTAACTGTGTATCTCCATAGCAAACTCCTTTGTTGACACAAACACGTGGAAGCGTTTGCCATTGTCAGCTCATTGTGCACTTCCTTTGTCACAATTCCTGCATGGATACTGGCTGGATTTTGCACGAACCTCCATTTTGGCATGTGTGATATGATGACCAGGGCCTTGGTATTGGAGCTTCAACACAGTTTCTCTTCCAAGCACTCACTGCCTTCGCTTAGACCCAAGCAGATCTCACTTTCTTTATATGTCTGAGTCTTAAGCTGATTGACCCAGACAATCCGATCTAAGACGTCTCTTTGTTCCTCATGCGGTTCGGTAAGACAGGATACAAATGCCTCAATATCTTGGGTATGCTTTGCCTCATACATTGCCTCATCTGCTGTTTAAACGGGCAATGGGGCCACAGGATCTGTAATCATATATATATCCTCTTCGTCTGTGGTGTGCTTTCCTTGCTGCAGCACAACGGACAACACAAACTCGGTGGAAAACTCTTCGCATCTGTTAACACGATACAAACCAAACCTTGGCAGCTTCCTTCTCTTCAACAATTCATCCTCAACATTAAATTCAGACCGGTAAGTGTGCTCTCTGGGCTATTGAAATGGGAAAGGCTAAGGCATTCTTTAGGGGTGCTATGGCAAAGCTGACGTCTGCTCTCCATGTCTTAAAGCCTGGGCGGCCGCCTCGACATCACAGAACCGAGAATAACCCATACTCTGTGGTTCGAGGGCCAGGATCTGCTACCGAAGACACTGACACTGAGCAGTCTAAGCCGCAATCCGCTATGGCCGTTTCTCGAGAAATTGTGTCCGAAGACTCTGGCACTGAGGAACCCGAGCCGCAATCTCCTCTCGACGCTCCTCCAGAACGTGCTATCAAGGACTCTAGCACTGAGCAGCCTGCGCTGCAATCTGATCTCACCGTTCTTCCACAGGGTAGATCGATGCTGAGGTACGTTACTACAAATTTTACAGATGGATCAAGTAAGGCTGACTACGACTCGGACTTAGCTTCTCCTGAACAACCGTCTGAGGAAGGACGCCGACGAGTCCAGGAAAACTTTGCATTAGAGCGAATCGACTCACAATTGACGATTACTAGGAGATCTGATGCTCCAAATTCCGACGAATCCGCGGCAGATTTGGACGCTGAAGCTACACCTCGTCGTTCAATACGTGGCTGGCTCGAAGCGCAAATTTTCGAACCACGTCCTCCACACAAGGGTCATAGCGAGATTGATTACAAGGCTATTTGTCTTTCAGGCGGACTTCTTATGCCTGGACTTTCTGACCCATCTCTCACTCTCAAAGGCCAGCTGACACCTGAGCAGAGACAACCGCTCACCACGAATCTGGAAGATCCTAAGGACGAGACTCCCACACGCTGGTCAGAAGATTACGACCAATTCTCCTCTGGTAAACAGCGCAAGGTGGAACAAGTCTCTCTGGGACACTTCGGGCTTCAGCCTCGAAGTTGCAGCATCAATACTCCACTTCCACGACCCTGTCGCGAGCAGTTGAAAGCCTGGAAGCTTCGCGGGGCAAACCAATCCGCGGAAGTATATCCTGGGGTGGCAGATGAAACCGACTGTGTTGCTGCTGAAAACGCCGACGCCCAGGGTGGAAATGCTGGATCAACTCGGATCGATCGTTTTGAACCAGATGCAGCCCACAATGCTCAAATTGCCATGGAAGCTATGCATCGGTCTTTACGGCAATTGGAAGAGGCTTGCCGTCAATTTGATTTTGAAAATCAAGCACACCGGCGCAATAAGAGGTGGAAGATTGAGAGAAATAATCTTCTAAAGCAGGAGCTTGATGCTGCACGGGCAGCGGTCAGAGAGCGGGATGTAGAGATTGAGAGATTGTGCGGGCTGATCCACAATGCGAGTCAGACGTTGCGAGCTGCTCGACATCCAAATCCAACGAATGGTTCCGTCCATGAGACGGATAGCGTCACCCAAAACCCGGTGGTGGATCCGATATTCTGTTCTGGTGAGCTTGGAGAAGAGAGTGAGACCTCCGCCATGTACGGTGTTGATGGCCAGAATTCGAACACTTACGACGACGAGGAGGCCGACAACACCCCACCCAGCTCTGAACAAGCCGATCGGCCTTAAGTCGATAATTCGAGAGTGCTCTCGAGGGCTTTGATGTGACGCCCCTCCCTCGGCTCCGCCCACGGAGCTGTTGAAAGAAACAAGCACATGAGGCTCAAGCAGGACTACTACAGGTAGAGTGCAGGCCTTTTCGTTCTTTCTCTCCTGAAGAATGAAAGCTGTCGGAGAGGATTTTTCTTGGGACTTCAACTTTTACCACTAATACTAATTCTACAGGGATCTGTTTTGTTCATCAGGAAGAGAAAAGGGACAAGGGCGCGCGCATGTGGGTTCCAGTTCGCGGAGGCAATTAGTTTCTAGGATAGTCAACCTAACTGACAAGACACTCCTTTGGTTGGATAAAAAATAAAGAAAAAAGGAAGAACTCCTTCTCCTTAGGTCTTATTATGCATGTGTAACCGTAAAATGCTCCGAACGCTTTCGATTTTCCTATTTTCGCTGTTAAATTTGTGCATTTAAACAAAAAGTTCTTCGGTATGGCTACTTCATTAGCGAAGAGCACGTCCCTGATCATGGGGTGAATACCAAGATCACCGAATAAGTGAAAAAACAAAAAAAAACAAAAAAAAACAAAAAAAAAAAAAAAAAAAGGTTTCTACAGGCGAAGGCGAAGAAATCGGTCAGTCTCCCTTGCGATTTCAGGTGGCTTCTTCTCACCGTGCTCTTCTAATTGGGGTGTATGGTATAGCGTCTTGTGCCGTTTCAGAGCTTGCGCCCTACCGAAATCAACATCAGTTAACCCGCCGACCGGATCGGGTTGTTAGTATAGTCTTGCAAGATTCCCACTCGTCCAAGAGAAATGGAATCTGCACCTTGACACCTCATCTCTATCGTCACTTTGGATCCCCGCTCACTTTTCACCCTCGTCTGTTCCGTCTTCTTCGAATTCTACAAGCGCGACACCACTTCCTACGACCTCCCCCTCCATATGCACCACTCTCTGCACCTTGGCACCCTCCATAGGGCTCCTTATAACCGTCTCCATCTTCATACTCTCGATAACTATCAGCGGCTGCTCCTTCTTCACCACGTCCCCCGGCGACACGAGTACACGGAGAATCTTAGCCGGCATAGGGGAGAGCAATGAATTAGGCTTATCGGTCACGCCGAGGGCTTTCTGGAGCCATGGAGGCGAAGGCGAGTAGAGAAGAAAAGAGCCGTGTGGGGTAAAGAGATGAATTTTTTCTGGGTTTGACGCAGAGTCTGATGTGGTCGCGGCAGGAGAGAATATGACATGTGAGGTATGTCGTGTATGAGGAAAGTAGGTTGTCAATGTATTTGTCTTGAAGTCTAAGGAGGATGAAACGGTGATCGGTTCGGGGTCGGATGGCGTTGATAATGAGAATATACCTGGACTTATTTGTTGGAGTTCTACCGTGAGGATTTCAGGCTGTTTTCCAGATCCAGGTTCGAAGCTCGTGGAGGTGAACTGGAATGTTCGTGGCTGGAAGTCCGACGATGTGTTGAGCCACGAGGGGGAGGATAGTTGCCACGTTGAAGAGGTCGCTTTCGAAGTTGGAGCATTTGAATGGCGAAGAAACGAAGCAATCGCTGCCTGAGCGAGAACTTCAGAGGTAACAGTGATCTCGGGAAAGAGTTCTTCATGGTGCTTTCCGATATACCCTGTCTCGACCTTACCGGTCACGAAGTCGAGGGATTTGCATATTCTTTTGAGAAAGTCAATGTTTGTTACCGGTCCGGCGACTTCGTAGTCTTGCAAGGCTGCAATCGTTTTGCGTAGAGCGTCTCCGCGGGTCTCACCTCTGACGATCAATTTGGCGATCATGGGATCGTAATGGCTCGAAACTTCATCGCCTTGCACAAATCCACTATCTATCCGCACGTCTGTGGTTTCTTTGGGGAGCCGAACGTGTAGAAGTTTTCCAGAATCAGGTATGAATCCCTTGTCCGGGTTCTCCGCATAGATTCGAGCTTCAATAGCATGTCCACGGTGAGAAATCTGCTTCTCGACTTGTTCTTGGGTAAGAGGAAGAGGGTTGCCTTCCGCAACCAAGATCTGCCAATGGACAAGGTCCAGGCCGGTTACCATTTCCGTAACAGGGTGCTCCACTTGAAGTCTAGTATTCATTTCCATGAAGTAAAATTCCCCCGTGTCATTGTCGAAGATGAATTCCACGGTCCCAGCACCTTCATAGCAGACAGCCAACGCAGCTGCTCGTGCCTTGTCCCACAGATCTTTGCGAATAGAATCGTCCAGATTCGGAGCTGGAGACTCCTCAAGGATTTTTTGATGGCGGCGTTGAATGGAACAATCTCGTTCACCAAGGGCAACACAATTTCCATGCTTGTCAGCAAAAACTTGAACCTCAATGTGGCGTGGCGTGGTAATATATTTCTCGACGAGGACTTCGTCATTGCCAAAGGAGTTTCTGGCCTCACTCTTTGCACTCTCGAGCATGTCTGGGAATTCTTGGGCAGTTTTTGCGATTCGCATCCCCTTGCCTCCCCCGCCCCGAACGGCTTTGATTAGGACAGGATAGCCAATTTTTTCCGCCTCTTGTGCGAGTGTCTCAGGAGCTTGATCGGATCCGTGGTAGCCTGGTACGCAGGGAACACCGGCGGCATTCATGATCGCTTTGCTCTTCGCTTTATCCCCCATATCCTCAATGGCGCTTGCAGGGGGCCCAATGAAAGTAACGCCTGCTTCCGCACATCTCTTTGCGAACTCTGCATTTTCAGACAGGAAGCCATAGCCGGGATGGATAGCTTGACAGCCCTCTTGTTTCGCTATTCGGAGGATTTTCTCTTGGTCCAAATAAGCGGCTGTTGCGCCGAGATGGAATGAGAAGGGAGAGGAAAGAGCGTGCTGTGAGAGAGCGTCTGGATTCGTGTATAGCGTAGTAGTGCGGATGCCGTGCTGAGCAGCAGTACGATTGACTCTTATAGCAATCTCGCCTCGATTTGCAATGAGAATTGAATCGATGCTCTTGGTCGAGTGGGCGCGGAAAGTGGTTCTCGGTCGCAGAGTTGCCGCAGCTCGAGAAAAAGGGTAGTGGGACATTGTGAGCGCTGGGGAGGAGGGCTAGTCACATTTTCTGCATGCACTGTGGCTTGATTTATAAGGATTCATGGACAATGAATAGAGAGATGGGTGTGTGAAGCCCTCCCCAGAAACTCGGCTGTCCTCGCATGGCATCGGAGATGGTACCATCCCAAGTTCCGCAGACGATGAGACCATGGCGGGGGATCCAGACGCGTGCGGCTTCTCCAAAAATGCCTGCCCGACATCGTCACACTAGATTCCATTTGTCCCCCCGTCCTGAATATCACGCCGTCCTCGGGTTGCATGATTGCTCAAACGACGTTGAGAGAGTCTTTGAGTGGAAAGAGGAAAAAATAACTCAAGAGATGAGCCTAGAGTAATCTCCTTCCAACAGCCTTCAGCATTTACATCGGTCTTTCCACCACGTCCTGTTGATGACAATTGCCATTTCTTCTTGAAAATAAGCTGGATGTGATGAAACGACACCTTCCTCAAAATGTCCGATATCGAAGACTATACCTACTCGCCCTATGACGATCTCGAGGACATCCTATGGGACGCAGACCCAACTCCAGAGTTGGCCGATGACCTGGCCGAGCATACTGTCCACAGTCCTGTGTACCAAGACGAAGATGCAGTCAAGAACGAGCTGGATGAATATTATAGTGACTGGGAGTATTACTCGGATGACTACATGGACGACGATCCGACGTTGCTGAGAAAGAATCCTCAAATCAGCCCTCCTGCCAAACCCCCTCCCGTTGGTGTCCAGGATTCTAGACGAGGAAAGAAGCGGAAACTGGTAGAGACAATTGACATCCCCCTTTCGCGGTTGGACGAGGACAGACTCTTGGTTAGTGGCATTAAGGGCACAATTTGGGCCGAACCTTCAGGACGAAAGACTCCCGCGTACAACGATGGTCAAGAGGAGAGGGTGGCTCTCATGAAGAATTGGAAGGACATTTTTGCCATCAAGAACAACGGCTGGAATCAATCCCCAGAACGGACAGGAGACGACGAGAGTTGGGCAAAGGACATGAGTCTAGAAGATATGGGTCTCAGACACGTGCAACGGCAATCGTCTTTTGATCAAAGAACCCAACACACTGAAGCTAATTTTGAAGAGGAGGACGAAGCTGCAGAAAGTATTGCAGAAGAAGTGCCAGGAAAGGAGCATAACGAACACATTGTGAATTCGAAGGAAGTACCTGCGCCGAATTTGACCAAACCTCGTCATGCTGTCGTTGGCAAAGAAGATGATGAAGGAGGCGGAGTCTTCTCTCGAGTTGGCAAGGATAACCTCAGATCGGGAAATGTGGCGTCGCAATCGGAAGTGTTAGGCAACGATGAATTGCCCCGCAAACGGCGACGAGTAAAGGCAGGTCTTCCTTCCCCGCCAGATTCGAGTGAAACCATGGCTGCAGATACGGACGAAGCTGAAATCATGTCGGAAGCCATGGCGTATCCAAAAAGAGACGGCCATCAGAAGGACGACACCTCTGTGGTCAACGGAATAGACATTTCGCAAGTCAAACCGCCAATCATCAACGAACCGGGCCCTCAAAGGGAGAACAAAAGAAAAGCCACAGAGGAGGTTGACGAGGTTGGGCCTCCCAAATCAACTACCAACAGCCGTGCAAAGAGAGTCGCATCAAAGACAGGAAGAAATTCACAAAATGTCGCCGCCACCAGCGCAGGTTCGACAAATTTGGGCAAGAAGAACTGATTCTTTGGGGATAGCAAGGATAAATTGCAATGGCCGGGTCCATCCACTCAACGGTTAGCGATCACTCAGGCTCGGGATAATACAGGGTTACTGGCTTCTCAGACATGAAATTGACGAACAGCTTAGTGCTCGCATGATGTAATTTGCATGAAAGTAACAGATACACGAAGAGCTATATTTCAGGGGTGGTAAATGAATGCAATGTGGCTCCCCTCTGCCTTTGGCTTACAAAGCCCCTATTATAATAGTGGAAGCAAACAAAAAACATTC